TTTTTGAATTTGGTGTTAAAAACCTATTGAGGATAGCGCAGCTGAACGCTACTACGATTATGATTATCCATCCGGACGAGACAGCATAATTGTAATCGAACTTCACGTAAGTTCGTTTAATTAATCAATTTTATACAAATTGATTTTGTCTGAAAAAATATTAAATTCGTATTTTGATATATATATAATTCTAAAAATTATTTAGCAAAATTTTCAACACATTTCCTGTAACAATAATTAAAAACAACATAAAAATTTACTTTTTATTATTACGCACAAATTTATCTGATTAGATATCAACAGCAGTGCCGGATTTACACATAAGCTAGATAAGCTACAGCTTAGGGGCCTCACATTATAAGGAAGCCTCTTTAGTATAGAAAAGATTTTAAAAAATGTATTTTTTGTTAATAAGGGGGGGCCTCCGTAAGATCATAGCTTAGGGGCCACAAAATCGTACATCCGACCCTGATCAACAGCCATTACCTTTCCCATTGTTTGGTAGCATGTTTATTATCGCGTAACCTTTTAGAAATTATTTACATCATATAATGTATTTATTATGTTAGCTGCCGATATTTTTCTTAGTATTCAGTGATTTCTCGAAACAGTAAGATAACGATTAAGTTTATATAATACATCTTTAGCACTCGCAATTCAAGACGGTGCTAACTGTACTATTGTTACAAATTGTTAATTGTTACAAAGTACTGTAATTTAAATCTTTACATCATTTTAATATATATAGGTGAGTTACCACAGGTGAAATATTTCTCATTAAAATCATATAGCACAACAAATACTGTTTTATATTGTTAAAAACATATTCTTCAGTGCTAATATACATCTTTCACTATCCTTTTAATTTTTTCTTCTATTTAATTTACACTACATAAACTCAGATAAATATAACAATTAGATATCAATCGTTACAATGTAAAATTTTTTAATTAAATACATGTCACATGTTAAAAATCAATTATTTTGATATTTACAAAATTTATTGAAAAGATCGATTGTATTTTTTTAAACTGAGTGTACATATAGTTGGAGTAAAAAGTTATTTAATTATTTCTCATATTGGTAAGATGTAATTTTTTATAAAATTAAACGTTGTTTTTTTTTATTTACCGTGTTTTAAATATTATATAAATTTTATATAATTTTAACTTTTTTAGTTTTATATATAAGAAAAACTTTTCAATAAATTATGTTGCTTGTAAGATTTTATGTATATAAAATCGTAAAATTGTATTTCTTTTATCACTACTATCAAAAATAGTTCTTTTTCGCCTGTAGCCATTTTTCATGAAAATCCTACATCACTTTAGTATGATTAATTGCAATAGTTGTTATATAATCTTTATTTTTCTTATATAAAAATTAAACAAAATGTGTGTATGTTGCAAATGCACGTGTTTATTTTTAATCAAGAAATTCTTGCAGATGCTTTAAAGGAAATTAGTATGGCATTGCGACATATCTTATTAAATGTATTAATATTTATTGTGATAATTATACTATCTGCTGCAAAATTTACGACTAATACTACTGAAATTAATAACGCTGTTTTGAATGGCGTTCATTTAACACCATTGCATTATGATGTCAAAATAAAATTTGACGTACACAGAAATACCATTTCCGGCAAATGTAATATTTTCATCGAGATTAATCGTCCAACGGAAAATATTAGTATGATGATTTCAGGGATTTTTAATATAGTAGAAATTGATCTGATTGACACGGATAATAATCAGACAATCAACATCCCGAAAATTTCATTTAACAATAAATCGTTTGATAAAACGTACATTCATCTTGATTTTACTCATTCAACAGATGTTTTATTACCTGGTACATATAATTTAAAAATGATATATATTCGTCCCGTGATAGATAGAGACTTTTTCAAATCTGTTTACGCAGACAAAGAAGAAGACAAAGTGTAAGTTAATATAATCAATTTTTAGTAAAATTGTGATTAAAATTTTATATTATTCATACATTTAAAATAAAATAGGTCAAACAAAGAAATCATTGAAGTAATAACAGCAGAAGAACTATTTCCATATTGGAACGAGTCGGTATTTTATTCAAACTTTAAAATTTCTATTTGGCATCATGAAAACTACACAGTTTTATTGAATATGAGGAAAGGAGAGAGAGTTAAAAATATAAATAACATGCTGTGGACTCACTTTGACGAATCGCTTTTATTGACCGCTGAAACATATGTTATAATCACATCCACTTATTTTTACAACAATACTGAAAGTGGCACATTTTGGTATAGAAAAGAGATCAGATGTTATGCAGAAAATGTAATAATCATTGCGCAAAAAGTTATAAACTATTTGAACCAAAAAAATACAAGAAAAATAACAAAAATAATTTACTTTCTAATTAAAAACTTTCAACACAGTAACATAAGAAATGTGAACAGATTAAAGTCATGGGGATTCATTTTATTAAGGTAATATTCGTAAATACAAGATAAAATAAAACCAAATTGAATAAATATATTTATTTATAATATTCCAAAACTAAAAAAATACATTTTAATGTCAGTATGTTTATTAATAGACAACAAAACATATATTACTTGCGTCACTTTTTGATAAAAGATTCTTATTTCTATTTTAAACAAAAAATTAAAAGAATTATTCTTTACGTTAAATAAGATTTTAATTCATATTTCATTATTAAAAGTATGAAAAACAACTGCCTTTTATGTTGTACAAGTAAAACGTGTGTTATAAAATCGTGTCCTTTTCACCAATAATATTGATAAAGTCATCAAAATTCTTATTACTTCAAATCTTGTGTACATTATACCGCACGTAATATTGCTGATGAAAAAATGTTTAAAATATTTTTCTTACTTCCTTTTTATATAAATTCTATGCGAATATGTAAGTAAACAGTTATTACCATGTCTCGTTAACAATATAATATATATAGTTTATTAAAAATATATAAAACACAAGGTTGTTAACATTTATTTTCTTGTCAAATTCAGATTCAATTTTGTTACTAATTTATATTTAAATTTAGTTTTAACTAAATATAATTAAACGTTTATTTGTGTGTTTGTAATAACTTTATCTACTATAACGACGAC